AGTTGGCGCCACAACTACGATCTGCACATGTTGGACGATGAGGCTTGCGAACAGATACTGATGTGTCGCTTTTTGAAATATGGCGCCGAAAGTGGAATGGGAATGGTGGAGCAGATGTCACCAAATAATTTATGAATGGGAAAAGGTGGTTGAACTAGTAGCTAAGTATGTATATGCAAAAGAGGGCAGTAAATGATGTTTTGAGCGGGGAAGAATTCATTTTTTTTCTTGTTGTAAGAAATCTAGGAAAGAACCTAAGACGTAAGCACTTGTGTAAATATTTATAACAATTATCTGTGTAAACAATAAAAGTCTATAGACTTTTTATGGAAATTTTCCTTTTAATTATATTTAAGTTAACCCTGAATTTGGGCTTGCGTGTTGATAGCAGCTTTTAATTATATATATGTTCAGTTGATATATTTGTAGTTCGAATTGTTGCTTCATTAAACTATGCGGGTATAATTTGCATAATAAAGTGTATAAAATTAATGGCCAGTTCACTGTCGCAAAACATTTGTCATTCGCTAATTAAAATATGAGGTGTGAAATTTATTGCCTGTGCGTAAACGTTATATTTATCAGTGAGTAATTGTTACTTAGGGCCGTTTTCTGATGTAACCTTTAACTTTAAAGCTTACTTTATATTTAAAGGTTGGATTAAAAGTAAAGCTATGTCTAAAGTTAAGCATTTCTATTATCGGTTTATGACGTATGTATCTTTCTTGGTTGTAAACCAATTTAAAACGGGTAATAAAATGCTCTACTTTAGGCACAATCACAAATTTTAATGTAACCTTTAAATATAAAGTGAACTTTAAAGTTACAGGATACTTGAGAAAACGGCCCTTAGTAAATGAGTTTTATTTGAGAGACAAAAGATTTAAAAAAAAAATCTTCAAAAAAAAATTATGAAAAAAATATTTTACGATTATGAACAGTAATAGTAAATTTAAAGTTTTTTTCCACAACATTCTGGTCTCAATTTGAACTTGTTTCATAAATGAAAAGCTCTGTCATCGGCCGCAAACATTGGCACTGGCTTTCCCTTCGATTGTATTTTCGCGAGTGAAGAGTGCCCGAATGAGCACATAAAATTCTGGCTGTACAAAAAGTGAGTAAACTAAATATTTTAAGTGAAAATTTTTAATTCATGTAAATAAAAAATATTGAAAAAATTTAATCATACCGCAGCGCCACCCAAGGCGAACCGCTACTCTTGCACGCACTCAATCTCAGCGCCACCGCCTTCGAGCCTCGTTGGCCTTTGAAAATTCTCATACACGGCTTTAACGGTAATCAGCATGCCTCACCCAACCAGGAATCACGCCCAATACTACTGCACACCCAGCAAGCGCATGTCATTTCGGTGGACTATAGCAGATTGACGCGCTTCCCCTGCTACTATCCTTGGGCCACGTCCAATGCGCGCGTGGTTGCACGCTGTCTAGCACAGCTTATTGACCAACTAATCGCCCGCGGCATTTACACGGCTTCAGATTTGCATTTAATCGGTTTTAGTTTAGGTGCACAAATCGCTGGTTTGTCAGCAAATTTTATCAAGCAGCGCTTGCAACGCATAACAGGTGCGCATCTGGTCCACATATTTTCTCGTTTTTCTCCTTCGTTTTTTCTTTCTCCCTCTCTCTCTCTCTCTCACTTTCTCTCTCCAAATAGGTTTGGATCCCGCTGGTCCCGGTTTTGTTACACAAAATCTTAGCGAAAAGCTGGATGCCTCCGATGCAGAATTTGTCGACGTCATCCATACGGATCCGTTTTTCTATTCAACTTTGGATCGTAGCGGTCATGTGGACTTTTATCCTAATTTAGAAAAATTCTTTCAGCCTGGCTGCAATTTGGTTAAGAATGGGCGTGAGTCTGTTGGACAATAAATTTTTTGGTATGTCTAATTGAATTTGGTACCCTTAAAGGTATTCGTAATTGCAATCATTTTCGTGCGCCTCTGTACTACGCTGAATCCATTGGCAGTGAGCGTGGCTTTTGGTCCTATAATTGTGGCGAGTGGCTGGAGTTTGTGATGCAGCAATGTCGGCGTTATGCAGATGTGCCACACACGGTGATGGGCTATTTTGTGTCGAAAAAGTGAGTACCGCAACAAGTACTGTAGTAGTAGTACTGTGGGTTCGGTTAGGTCGTTGCAAATATTCCACAATGGAACACACTCTGATCCATGACTCGTGGTTCGTAGTGATGCCACTTAGGGTCTTCCAAATAATTAAAAAAACTGTCTGTCAAGGAATGAGAACTCCTCGTTTAGGCAGTGCAGAACATTGACATAAAAGATGCGGTATTGTTTCTTGCAGAAATTTTCTTCCACTTAGAAGAGTCAGTTACTGTCGAAATTCGACCGTTTTTCTAGTTTCTTCAGACCACTGGAGAGGTCTTCTAAATTAGCACGTCGTTTAAATTATAAGTTACAAAATTACTTATCGGTAAATCTCCTGCTTTGGAACTAAAACGTGACTACAATTTTTCATATCTTGGAAGTTGTTTGGTGGACTTTGCCAGGACTTGGAATTGACACGATACATTTTATTTTGTCGATAAATTTCGATAATGTGATACATATAGATAATGCCATGTATTTCAAAAACACTAAAATCCGATAACTAAAAAAATCGATAACTCAACAAAACTCGATAACTCGACTAACTTCTGTAATTCTCGATAAATTTTGAAAAATTTATCAAATGAATTTGCGTTTCGAGGCTCGATAAATTTCGTTAACTGAAAAATTTGTCGATACCTGTATAAATTTCGATAACTCAGTTAAATTTTGATAGTTCCGTAGTTTTCGAAAGCTATCGGCAAATTTCGATACCTCGCTACGCTCTGGTAAGACGATAAAATTCGATAAGCAGTGATAACTCGATAAACTTGATATAACATTGAAATGTCTATGGCTCGATATATTTTGAAAATTTGAAAAACTTCGATTAGATAAATCGATAAAATTCAGTAAATCAATAAATATCGATAACTCGAAAACTTGAAAACTTAAAAGAACTCAATGCATTACCATAACTCGATAAATTTCGTTAACTCTAAAAATAATGATAATTTAATAAATATCGGTAAGTTGATAAATTTCATTAACTTAAGAAATTTTGAGAATTCCATAAATTTCCTATAAATTTCGACAACTCTATAAATATTGATCAATTTGAATAATTCGATACGTTGCGATAACTCAGTAAGCAAGTAAAACTCAATAAATTCCAATAATTATAAATTTCGATGATTCGATAAATTTCGGTAGCTTGATAACTTTCCATAACTACATTTTTTATGACTGAACTTAATACGATTACTATCAAAAAAAGGGAAGAAATTTCTTATCCTTTCAGTTACCTTAATCCTTATGTATTCCTCATTGTTTTTTGTCGTAATCGTTATCATTTATTTCTTCAAAATAACATTTATTTTTATAACAAAGTTTAATTTCAAATATGAAGTAAAACAAAATTCGAAAAACAACTCAAATACCGAAAACTTTAAAGGACGATTTTGGCCGCAATGTGCAACCAATTTTGAAAGCTTAAAAACTTTCCTCATATGCAGAAAAATACCTTTCCAATGGTGTTAACTTCCTCCGTTCAGGAAGAGCATTCTCGGATTTGGCTGGAGAGCGTAGAAGAGTCTTCCGTGTCCGGAAGTAGTAATACAACCACTGCTCCTTCCATAAATTACCACTGTGCCCGTCGGTGGTAGTATCCACGTCTTCCGCCGACGTTTGGGCCGATAGCTAAGCCTGCTTCTTCGACCTCCATTGAGAGTTACGTGTCCCTGACATTTGTCGTTTCTTACCTACCATCAGGTGGGAAATAAAACGCCATTAATTTGATAATCAAGCCTCCACACCACTAAACATATAAAATAGCTAAACGGTAGCTTTCGGTCGGCTAAAATATAATGTGGTCCAAATTCTCTCGCTAACTGTTCTCACTAATTCGACGAAAATTATATCGATAATTTACCGATATCCAATAATTTTAGCGATGCCAAAAACTGAATCGAAAAGTTTTTATTAACTATAATTTTTGATAACTTATCGATGTACATAATTTTGTAGTTAGCTAATTAGCTAATAGCAAAATTTATTATCGATAACTTATCGGTACATTTTATGTTACCAATAACATATAACTATAAATCTACCGATAACTTTTGTAGCTGCAAACTAATCAGTGCCTTTGACCTTATCAGTAACTCACCTTTCGATAACTTTAATTTCATCGATAACCAAAACTGTTTATAAATGTTTTTTAAATTTAATATATGTACATAAATATTTAAATTAGTATTAACTAGTGATCTGTTTTTTTGAATTTGCAGCGCTTCAGGCTCCTATTTTCTTCAAACAGAGGCGCTCGCACCATTTGCCAAGGGTCCTATTGTCGGTGTGGAACTCGATACTAGTAAAAGTTCAACAAATAAACCGAATGGAGCTTAACAATAGGCGAATAAAATGCTTTCATAATTCTATGAGAAAAATAAAAGTAAATTCTGTATTTAAATGCCTGATTGTTGTTTAAAATAAAATATGCTACGTATGTATACGCACAAAAAAAATTCATTAATATAATTTTTAAGTCAAATACTCGCCTGCAATGTGGTTATTATATTTTCAATAACATTTACACCCATCTAACATTTTCAATACAACGCTCAAGTACACACACACAAACACCTCCCCAAAATCAAGTTCGCTGCTTAAATTTTTCGTTTTTTTTCCTATGTGTTTATTTGCACTGTAATGCCGTGCGTGCGCTAAGTGGGCGCTACAAATGCGAATGCCACTCGAGACAACCCCCTGGAATGCGTGCCGAACGTGGTGCTGCCAACTGCATGGCTTTAAGCTCAACTAAAAAGCGTTTGTTAACTTTTCAAAAATTTCGTACAAAAAACGAAAACTTACAAACAAATTGAAAAACTTGCAATCCAAAATTG